CTCCACTTTCCAGGTAGTTCCCTCTCCCTATCTAGCCTCTCCGCCCTGCCCCTTTCCCTTTTTCGGTTGCTCTCTTACCTGGCCCGTACATAGCTGGAATAGATGTTGGGAAACAAAATTTCCTTTCAGTCACCAGTTGCTTGTGTATTTCTGCTAGATGGGCTTCGGACGTTAGGATCCTTTGCCAGGACTCATTACGCAGCCGGCTGAGATCTGGGGGCCGGAAGACAGGGTCCCGCGCATTTATTGTGACCCGTCACCTTGGAGACTCGGGGACACGTCCCCAAGACCTAGCTCGACGTGGGCACCACGCGATCACTGCGCATTGTGTCCCAGTGAGCTTTCCTGAGCTAGTGGTCCGTGGGCTGGAGTATACAGTTGGGTTGGGAGGGAGTGGGCTGTATATGTGTGTGTTGGGACTAGTGGGAGGGGGAGGTGACACTGCTGTCCCCACTTCCATTGCTCACCAACTCTCTACTAAAACTCTCAGCCTGCTCAGGGTTTTGAGGTTCTTGGTTCAATTCAATTGAACCGTACTCTCACCTAAATCAACACACAGACTAGAAATGGGATCATTTCAAATGTGATCAATGGAAAAAGGTGTTGGGAGTCTAGAGGGAATCTTTGGATATATCCTCATGGCCCTGTTCTGTGTTGTTGTTCAGTCTACTTGTCAGTGACCCTATTTGAGCTTTTCCTGGCAAAGATACTGGAGTGGTTTGCCATTTCTTTCTCCAGCTCATTTTACAGATGAGGAAACTGAGGCAAACAAGGTGAAGTGAATTAAGGGCCCAGGATCACACAGCTAGTAAGTGTCTGAGGTTAGATTTTCACTCAGGTCTTCCTGACTCCAAGTCCAGCACTCTGTCCGCTGCATCACCCAGCTGCCCCTATGAGTCTACATTAGCATCTAAAATAAGATAGCAATCATCACAACAGATTCCCTTCTGAAATTGATAGAACTAGTAAAAATGGCTTCATTAATGAAAAATATATTCTAAAATGAATGGGAAGTCTATAGAATTTCCAAAGAGTGCTTGTTAATAATAGCTTGCATTTGTAAAACAGTATTACTATTCTGTGGTTCATTCCTTTGAAGAAGCTTTTCTATTTCAATATTTATATGAGGGCATCATGTTAGCCCTTTCTATTGTGATCTGAGGACTGTTTCTGCATATGTCATCTGGTTGTCCAAGGCAACCCCTTTAAACAATGAAGGTCATTTGTTTTCATGCTCTGGAAATATCACACTGAGAGTGGCTGAGTAGCACCCAACCATGAATTTCTATTATAGTGGCATTTATTTAATACATAGCACTTCTAATTCACAAAGTGTCTTTATTCATCAGATTTCTCTTCTTTTTGTAGCACTGTTTATTATTTACATGGAGAAATGTATCATTAACCTCTTATTTTCTGTGAAAGAATCTAAACTTTGTACTTTGACCTCCTGCCTCTATTTAAGGTGTCACTAAATGATCCAAGAGAAAGGAATGTCCTTTCTTGCCATATCTTAAATGTCCACAAACTTCCCAGGTCCAGTCCAACAGCCTAAGAGACAACCTTAACTAAAAAGGGAACTGAGGCGTCCCAACACCCATCATGAGATACACGTTCTACCACTTTCTACACAAAGTTCAAAGCAAGATTTCGTTAATAAAGGGTCATTCCAATTCAGGTGAAATGAAATTGATGAAATGACACACCTTCATTAAAAAAGAAACATCCCACGGGATCACTGATATTTCCTAAGTTACTGATGGGGAAGAGTTGCCAATAGTGCTAAAGCAGTAGATGTTTCTAGTTGTACTATCCAGATTTCAAGACTTTGAATTCTTTATGTCACTTTTACAATCTGAGAAAATGAGGACTGAATGGTTTTTTTTCAATATTATCTCTCAGCAATGAATCTTGAAGGACACAATTATTATTTCTGATCAATGGATGAAACGGTTATCCAACGTATATCTAGATTATTTAGCAATCACTTGGATGGGGATGGAGATTTACCTCATGGTAATAGTTAAAAGCCAAGTAAACAATTTAAAAAAAAATGCAACCCACTTCAAGGAGAGCTCTTAAGTTCATTGAACTGAGTCAGAAATTTGCCAGTTAAAGTTTGGCACACTCAAACATCCATTTCAGTTCATCTCAAGACAGACTACAGGAGAGAGAGTTGGGAATTGAGAAGGGAAAAAAATCAGCAAGATCAAGATAGACTATATGGATACAGTACAACTATAGTACGTTTAATAGGGTAAAATACAGTAACAAATTGATTGTTAATAAACCAGCTCTATCTCTGTGATACTGAATAGTAGTTTAATTAATTCTGAATTGATTAAAATTACCTTTAATAAAAAAGCTCAAAGCAAGCCTGTTTGTATCTAACATATGAAATCAAAATTTTCTTCAAGCTTTTTCGAACCTCTTCTGTCTCATGAAACCTTACCCCAACAGCTGTGGCTAAGGAGTCTCTGTCTTCCCTTTGGCTGGATTCCATGCCTTCTCTCTCCTCCTCTATGGCCCTTTTGTCCCATTAGTGAGTTTCTCCCAGAACCTCCGTTTTAAGAAAGGGGCCAGACCAACCAATTTCCATTCTCTGGACTTCACCATGCTCTCTACATGGGTATCTCCTTCTACCCCCATCCCCCACTTTAGCTCCCTTTTAAATGTTGTCTTCCCCAATTAGAATGTAAACTCTTTGAAGGCAGGGACTTTGTTTTTGCTAGTATTTGTGTCTCCTATACTTAGTGCAGTACTTGACAAATTAGAAACTCTCTTAATAAGTTCTTGTTGACTTGATTTTTTGACGCTACCAATGGTGAGGCATGGCATTTATTGGTTCATAATGTTATCTTGCTGTGAGTATGTACAGTATAGGACTTTGGGTCTGACTTTTTTAGACAAACACAGAAATGTATCCATCCAAAGCATTACACCTTTCTGAGCAGCTTCCTTGTAAGGTTATATCCCTGTGATAACTGTCATTGATCAAATCGTTTTAGAATTCACCTTTTGAAACTGCCTTCAGTGCAGATATGTTATGGAATCCTTAGACCAGGGAGGTTGAGTCACACTGACCTTGGAGCCAGGATTCCCAAGTGAGATGTTGCTGTCAGCCCAGCAGAGGAGCTTTGGACTTGGGCATTGTTGGTAATACATAGAAACGGAGTTAAACGCGAACCTAAAGCTCCACCCCCACCAACCCCATCCCTTTCCTAAAACCTAAGTGAGGGAGAGGAATTAGGCTTCTCTCAGAGAGGCTGGGAGGGAAGGAAGAAGGGAAGGGAGACAGGCACGGAAGGGGAAATAAGGGAAGGGAAGGGAAGAGGAGGTGAAGGAAGGGGAGACAAGGGAAGGGGAGGGGAGGAAAAGGGAGGGGAGGGGAAAATCCTCAGAGTCCAGGACTTTTGAATTTAAAAAAAGTTGTTTTTTTTTTTACTAGGCAAATCTTTATCCACTAAGGATGAATTTAAGTTTTGGAAATGGCCAAAAGTAACTCACACAAGGTTGGATGAATGAAATGGGTGATGAAGCTGGATGAGATGATTCTGTAGGGGAAAGCAAGGTTCATATACATACAGATTGAGAGCAAGAACAAACTTAAGAGATCACCAAATTTGATCCCACCATTTTACAGATAACTGAGGACCAAAGAGATTCATGTAGCCTGACTGAAGCACAACCTGTTAAGAAGCTATGGAGGGAAGGTCCAAATGAGAATAGCTGTTCTAGCTGTGTACAACACAGGTGGTAAATCTCTGCAGTGGAACTGCAGCTACCTGATTACAGGTAGCATGGTATCTGTAAAAGCGATGAACTAAGAGCATCAGAAAACCCAGGATCTGCCACCTGTTAGTAGCTATCAGTTATACAGTATGTCCCCAAAAGTCTTAGTGCAGTTTTAAAATAGAACATTGTGGAGCTTTTTAGTTGTTTCTTTTTCATCTGACTTTCAATAGTCGTTCAAGAGCTTTCTTTATCTCCAGGAGAACAAGAAAAGGAAAATATCTGAGCTTTGAGTCCAAAGGTGTTCCCTTTGTTTGGGTACCAAGGTTAGTTCTGAATCAAGTGAAAAAGGAATGTGAATTTTTATTTAATTATTTAATCATAAGTAGTACACAAGATACAATATACATTCAAAAATGAACAATTGGTCACTGAATTCAGTAACAGTCAATTACTGTATGGTTGGTATAGATACAGAGAAAAAGTGGGCCATCCAAACTCACTTGTCAGCCTATTGCTGTAACATCTAATGACCTCAGTAAAGGTGATTAGAATATATTCTGCGAGGTTGATGATATGTTGTGCCAGGTCCCACGTATTACAGATTTTTGAGACTAAGGTATTAGGTAGGTTACTTGGATATTACTAAGGTCACTGTTGACTTTTTGTTGCTTTGTTGTTATGCAATCATTTCAGTCATGTCTGATTCTTTGAGACACCATTCAGGGCTTTCTTGGCAAAGATACTAGAGTGGTTTGCCATTTCCTTCTCCAGCTCATTTTACAGAGGAGGAAACTGAGGCAAGCAAGGTAAAGTGACTTGCCCAGGGTCACACAGCCAGTAAGTGTCTGAGGTTAGATTTGAACTCAGGAAAATGAGTCTTCCTGACTCCAGGCTCAGGCTCAACTGTAAAATGAGGATAATAATAGTATTTATTTCACAGGGTTTTTGTGAGAATAAAATGAGATAATATTTGTAAAGTACCTGGCTGTTCCTCTTCTTCTGCAAAATGAAGGGGGTTGGACATAAAGATCTTGGTATCTTTAAATCAATGATCATCATTTTTTTTGCTGTTTTTCTTTAAATTTCTCAAAGCTACCTTTTACTGAAGGTAGCTTTCATCATTATAGTAATTGGATAACTGGACATGAAAATAATGAATATATCACTTTTAGATTATGTTTTGCTCCATACAGTAGAATATAAGTTCCTTGAGGGCAGGAATTGTTTCATTTTTGCCTTTGTAGCCCCAGTGCCTAAAACAGTGCCCAGCACATAGTATATTCTTTTTTTGTGTTCTTAATAAATGCTTGTTGAATTAAATTGAAACTTCTGTTTTTTTCTCAAGTACTAAAGACTTCAAACTTCAGCAAACAAATGAAAGTACAATTCCATTAGAATTCTGTGAAGAGCAATTATCCCCTTTGGTTATTATATACCATTTTCTTTCAGTTTCCCCTGAAGACCCATCATCATGGAGTTCCAAATCTTTTTTTGCTTCTACCTGCTAATCCCATATCGGAAAAATGTTTCTCCTGGTTGTTTAATTTCCCATCAAGTCACAAAGGTCTCCAACTGTTCAAGAACCACAAAGAAACACATGGAGCTTGATCAAGTCACTGAAGGGGTAAGTAAGCTAGTCACCAATACACTGCCTTGCCCGTAACAGGCACTCAGTAGATATTTGCTAAATAATCAATCCAATGGGAAGGAGGGCAATCAATTTAATGGTTATCATATCAAGTGCTAAGAAAAATCATTTAATTGCATTCAGATGAGGGCATTTAAAGTACCAACAACAAAAAAATCCTATCAGTAATGTTATCCAGAGTGTCCAACTTGGCAAAAGAAAGCCAATGGATTATAGAAAATTTTTAAAACATAATTATGACCTGAACACAAGCATTTTTCATTAGGAGCTTCTGTAACAATATTTATCTATGCAGTTGTTGATGATTTTTTTTTAACCTTTAAGATGGTTGCATCGTCTGCTCTGCCTGGTTTCAAGTCCCTCCCAAGATACTCTTCCCTTCTAATCTCACCACCGTGCTGCTAACTCAAGCCTTGATGAACAGTGCTTCCCTCATCCTTCTCTCCCCTCTGACTAGAAGGCAGAGTACCAAACTCCTCCCAATGTCTTCATTTGTAGAGGGCAGAAAGTCAGATCACTCCATTTTGCATCTGTGGCCCTGCCTGGTTTTAATTCTATAGAACAAGATGCCTTTGTACCAAGTGCCCCCTGTTGTTTCCTGCCCTCCCCCCAATACCTGCCTCCTTTTGTCTATTGTCTCCCTCTTTTGTAACTTCCCTGAGGGCAAAGACTGTTTCTTTTTATTAATTGTATCCCTAGTGCTTTGCACAGTACCTGGCACATAGTAGGTGCTTAATAAATGTTTATTGGATTGGAATGATCTTAACTCTTGAAAGTCTCAAGGTGGCTAGAAAGTGCAATTTTTTTTGTTTGGTTTGGGTTTTTTGTTTGTTTTTCCTGTTAAAAAGCATCGTGGTAAAGATGATTCTTCTTCCATTTCAGTTTCTAATATTTAGATTGCTACAAGCTCTTTCAAAGTACGAAAATAGCAATCATGCATTGTTGTGAATGAAGGAGGAAATTAAAGTATTCGTTACCTTCATAGCTCTGTATTGGATGTCACCCAGCTTCATAGGATTTCAAGCTGGAAGGTTCTTAGAAGCCACCTAATCCAACCTCCTCCCTTTAGAGATGAGGAAAGTGAGGTTCAGAGACAGTCACAACACAAACAGTAAGAAGCAGAGTTATGACCTGAACCCAGGTCTTCCATCTCCAAACCCAACATTCCTCTCCCTTTACTATGCTACCTCTCGGACTACCCAGGTCACTTTGAACCTGGGAAAGTCTGAGGAGTTCACATTCCAGACGGGTACAGTTACCTTCTCCATCAAACTAACTAACCCTCCAGAAGAATATCAGCTTGGATATTTTACATGAACAACATGGAAGACAAACTCTCATTTCTTGGTGCTAAAGAATTTATCACACTCCTGGGTTTATAAGACCAGGGCACCAATCGCTATAGTGGTTACCATAAGTCTGCTAGGTTGAGATTAAGGTGGGAATGTTCCCAGTCACTGGTCAAACCCACTGCTCTTTTTGTCTGGCATGGCAGGAATGCCCCTAGCTCTGATGATTTACACAAAACAAGTTAGAAAATGTTCCTGGTTGTTCGGCCACAAGGTAGAAAAGCAGGCTGTGGTTGCCAAAAGCACAGCTTCCCCCACAGGCCTAAAGGAGAATGCCTTCAGCTCTAGTGAGCACATTCCTAAAATGAGTTAGCTGTCCGAGCTGCTGGATAATCACATCCTGTAGAAATTTTTTTTTTAAAAAGCTCCCCTATGGGGGTCTAATGCAGGTGGATGGAGAGGGATTGACCCCTCTTAAGGAAAGAAAAGAGAATAAAAAGTGGAGGAAGGTCCTCTCTTATCACCACCTCCACCTGTGACCCCAAAGTCTAGGCACATGCTTTTCAGTTTGAAAACAAACTCTGACAGTTTTACACAAATCGGATAAATTTGTTGGGTCTCTCTTCGGATTCCAGGACTGCTGAAATTGGAAATTCTGCTAGAAGAGGATCCGTCAAAGATGATCTAGGTGACAGATTGCAGGTAAAAACATCATCTATTGAGCCTGAAAAATAGCAAGGGAGGCATGGTTTTATTGTACAGACGCTGAGGACACAGAAACACGCCTTACAAAACGCCCCATGTGACAGTAATTTGAAGCAACAGTAGAGGGACCCAGACTTATTGAAAAACCCAGGAGATAAATTTAAAAAAATGTTCTCTCCTTTGTGGACAAAGACAACGTGTCTGGTCAAGAGAGCACATGCTTGTGATAATTTTTTCAGTGGCAGAGATGGATTTATAACAAATGGGTTAGACACACTCTGTCACCAGGTTTTGCCTGGTGAGCAGAAAGCACGCCCTTTGTTGAGAAGGGTAGCTGGGACTGGGAGCATTGTTCACAGCTGTAGCCCAGAGCAATAAACTCATCCCCAAAGGTGCTCACTGAACAATTTTCACCTGATTCCATACAGTCCTCAAACTGGGTGAGGGACCTTAAGACTTTGTGCACCTGCTGAAGCAACAAATTACTTCTTAGTGACTTTGTGGTGAGGGACCAGAACTGATTCATTGGTATAAGAAACTTCCAGTGAGGAAACTCCCTCTACTAATGCTGATCACCTTATAGTACATTGAGGCAGCTAAACGGCACAATGGATAGAGTACTGGACTTGGAGTCAGGAAGACCAGAGTTCAAATCCAGCCTCGGACGCTTTCTAGCTGTGTGACCCTGGCCAAGTCACTTAACCTCCATTTGCCTCAGTTTCCTCATCTATAAAATGGAGATCATAACAGCACCTAGTTCCCAGCACCTAGTTGTTGTGAGGATCAAATGAGATAATTATAAAGCGTTTAGCACAGTGCCTGGCCCATAGCAAGCAGTATATAAATGTTAACTATTATTATTGTTATTGTTATTATGGGCAGCTAGGTGGCACGCTGGATAAAGCACTAGGCTTGGAATCAGGAAGCTTCATCCTCATGAGTTCCAATCCAGCCTCAGACACTAGCTGTGTGACCCTGGACAAGTCACTTAACCCTGTTTGCCTCAGTTTCCTCATTTGTAGAATGAACCGGAGAAGGAAATGGCAAACTGCTCCCGTATCTCTAACAATAAAACGCTAAATGGGGTCACAAAAAGTTGAAAATGACTGAACAAATTATTACTTTTTCTCTGTCTGCCTCAGTTTCTTCTTTCTAAAAAAGAGAATCATAATAGCACCTACTTCCCATATTGTTATGAGGATCAAATGAGATAATATTTGTAGTGCTTAGTACAGTGCTTGGCACATAGTAGGCACTATATAAATGCCTTCCTTCTCCTCCTTTTTAGTCCAAGATAGTTGCCCAGAGTCAAATATCCAGTAAGTATCAGAGGGAAGACTTAGAACCTATTTCCTCCTGACTGTGAGGCTTGTTCTCTTCCCTTCTACCTTCTCAGTTATAGTTATGGCATCTATAAATGATAGCTGTTGGGTCATGGTACACTGGAGCAGCTTTTCCAGAATTGATCCATTTTGGAGTGGCCATGAAGACAGAGTTTTCTCCACTAGCCAGCCAGCCCCTCCTGTCTTATCCTGTATATTACACTTGCAGGGAAAAAAGGAAGGATCTGTTAAGACTTACAACAGCCCTACCTCTCCTAACTAGGAAAGGAAAAATACTACTGTGACCAGCAAGGCAAGGGAATGGAATACAAAATATTTTACAAAGAGAAAAGGAAAGACAGTACACTTCCATTTTAGAGAGTAAACATTTCCTACTTCTTGTTTTCTGTATCATGCTTTTCCCTCCAGCCAATAAGCATTGCTTTTTTTTTTCCAGTGAATTGGTTCCCATTACCCATAACAATGGTTTCATCTTTATGTAATTTTTAAAATCCCAAAAGGTAAAAAATAAAACTTGGTCTTAGGATTACTAACATACCTCTGGAAGTAACACTGAATTTCCTATCTGAGAAACTGCTTCTTCTGATGAGAGGTTCACTCATTTTTTCCAGAAATAACTTTATCGTCTCCTTCTTTTCTGGGCTAGTACTAGACAAATTCAGGATTTTCCCATTAACATTAACTGTGGTATTGCTGAGGCCAAACCAGTAGAAGAAATCAAATAAGGCATCAGCTTTGAATTCATACACAAAATTCAAGTCTTTTCCATTAACCACTTCATTTCCTGGAGGAAAAAACTTCTTGACCACTTCTTGAAAATTAAACTATAAAAAAAGAGAGAAAAATATTTCTTTAACTTCCACGAATATCCACCCAAATGTTGATGTGTAAAGATGTTTAAAAAAACAGTAAAACAACATCACATGCAAATACATTATCTCTATTCTCCCATAATTTGGGGTGTTTAAAATGTCAGTCTGTGTATGTGTCCCTGTTGATTCATTTCTTAAGAATTTGGAAGCCTACAATCTGGGGATGTTTGCATTAAGCAAAAAACCTTCTCTACTAGACCATACTACCATAGTATTTAGGTGTTAGGAGACTAGAGGATTAGACCCATGTAGCTGAACCATCTATCATGCTATGACTTAATACCAGTTTATCTAGCCTTTGTATTGTGTGCCATTTTTATTATTACCATCATTAATTCCCATATAAATTCATATTAAGGTCTGTGGTGTAGAGAAAAGAGCACCAGATCTGTAATCAGAAAACCAGGGGTGCAAATGTAGCTTCTTAGGTAGTACAGTGTGTTGAACTAGATTTCAAGTCAGAAAGACCTGAGTTCAAATCTGAATTTTTCTGTGCCTCAGTTTTGCCAACATAAGATTGAAGATGATAATTCCTTTCTACCTAATAGAAAATAAGTCCTTCAACCTCTGTGGACCTCAGTTTCCTTATCTCTAAAATGGAGAGAATAATAGCAACCACGTTAAGAGGGTTGTCGTGAGGACCAGAGAAGATAACATATGTAAAGCCCATTGCAAATGTTAATTACTAATTTTATTAAAGCCCCTCTCTCCTACTCCTTTGCTGCGTGACCTTGAACAAATCACTTAGCTTTTTCTGAGTCTCCATTTCCACATCTGTAAAATTATTACAATAACACTACCTATCTCATCTACGTCACAAGGGTGGTACTGTGAGAATCAAATGAGATCAGCTGTAGAAAGTGCTTAGTAAATGATAAAACCCTACGGAAATATCAGTTATCATAATACAGTCAGGTTCTGAGGACATGATTCTTAATTAGGTGATGCTACTCTCCTGGCTATTCATTGTTCTTTGTTATCAGAATCAAGTGTGTCCTGGAAGGTAAAAATGCATTTTACTGGAGGAAAGCATATCCCTAAGAATGTGTTTTCCCTGCTTGCACTGTCCTTAAAACTAAGTCTACTACACAGTACTAGAATTTCTTTTTTGCTTTTCATAGTGGCAGGTGTTAACATCCCATCTTCCTTCTGTTCAGCTTTTTAAAAACCTGGTTTTTTTTTTAAAATTCATACCACCTTTCTTCAAAGAAGTATTAACTGCTTAAGATGTCCACATCTTATTTAAGCTCATGTGATTTCTGTTGGGTAGAAAGGAATTATCACCCCCAATCTTAGGTGACAAAATAGAGATAATGAAAATTAATGACTGAGCCAAGGCCATATAATAAGTTAAGGCCTTAGGACTTATCAGGCCTCCTGATAACCAACCCTTTGCTATTTCTACAAACTGCATTCTCTCTCTTTCTAAATCTTGTTTTGTCAATTAGTCATGTCCAACTCTTTTTCGTGACTCCATTTGGGGTTTTCTGGGCAAAGATACTAGAATGGTTTGCCGTTTCCTTCTCCAGCTCATTTTTTACAGATGAGGAAACTGAGGCAAACAGGGTTAAGTGACTTGCCCAGGGTCACACAGCTAGTAAGTGTCCAAAGCTGGATTTGAACTCAGGTCCTCCTGACTCCCGGTCTGTTGTCTCTAATTCTTAGTAGCAATGAATTCAGACAATTCCAAACTTACCTGAAGTCGGTAGCTTTCTCCAATCACTGAGGAAATGACTGTATCCATCCCATGCTCAATCTGTCTTCTGATCTTGGGGTGTCGTGTATTCACAAGAAATGCATATGTCTTTTCTAAAAGTAGGAAGCAGAGTTTAGAGTTGACTTCTCATCTTTTACCTAAGCAGGTTCCTTCACAACCTACCAAGCCATCTTTCCCAATGGGTTTGTAGTTGTATGATGCCCTCACCCTACTCTGTGTGACATTATTAATGTATTTTAATTAAAAATTAATATTCCTTTAGATTTCCATGACACCTTTTGAGACAGACCAGGGAGGCATAAAAATAAAGTTTCAGGGAAGATGGTAGAGGGAGTCAGAAAACTTTCAGCTTTTCAAGTTTCCTACACAAAAAAAGAGAGAACATCACCTCAGAGGGAATGTAGAGCAGTAGAAATAAACAAAAGTTAGGACAAAGCAGTTGTTCTTCTAAGGCAACTTGAGAAGACCCCCAGGAAAAACCTGACCTCCAGGGGCAGAGGTTCAGCCTGAGTGAAGTGCAAGCACCTCCAGGCTAACTCTGTAGAATCAACAAACAACAAGCCCTGGGGGCAGCTGGGATTGGGAGGCAGCCTCAGCCTCAGAAACTTTCATCTCACAGACAGTGTCTGGATCAGATGGCTGAAGAGGAAAAGATTCAAGGACCTTCCACTGTCAAGGGATGCCAAGCACAGTTATGCTGACCAGATGTGACCCAGGCTGGGCTGCTCCTTCGAGGAAGAAGGAGCTAGTGCACTGTTGATAAGTGCAGTAGCAGATAGCCGGGGACCCTGCTGGCTGTGGGCACTTGGAGGAGAGCAGCGTCCCTGGTTTCACTTCTGGGGCAGAGAGGACAGCTGTAGTTTGCAGCTACCAAAGGGACCGCAAAGAGCAAGATCATTTGTGGGACAGCATGGCAGGGGGCCCTAGCAGTGGTTTCAGATTGGAGAAGTTGAGCCCCAGGAAAGACCTCAGAAAATAACAGTAAGAAGGACCTGAGGCTTGGGGCATCATTTCCCATACCTCAGGACTAGAATTTGATTACACTACTAGTTGCTAAAAATAAAATAAAACAAAAACAAATAAATAAAGACGAGTAAGCAGAGGAAAAAGAACCCAACCATAGATAGCTACTATGGTGATTCAGAAGATCTAAGTTCATATTCAGAGGAGGATGATGGAGCTAAAAAAGTCATTCCTTTTTTGGCCCCAAATACAAAAAGAGTTCTTGGAAGAACTTAAAAAGGACTTTAAAAATCAAGTAAGAAAGATTGAGGAAAAATTAGGGCAAAAAATAAGAGTAATCCCAGAAAATTATGAAAAGAAAGTCAACCAACTTCAAATAAAGAATCAAAAACTTAAGGAAGAAAAATAATTCCTTGAAAACTAGAATGGGGCAAAGAAAAGCTAATGATGTTTTAAGACAGCAAGAAATAACAAAACAAAATCAAAAGAATGAAAAAATAAAAGAGAATGAAACATCTTATCAGAAAGACAACTGATCCAGAGAACAGTTTGAGGAGAAATAATATAAGGAAAGTTGAACTACCTGAAAATTACAATTAAAAAAAGAATCTTGATACAGTATTACAAGAAATTATTGAGGGAAATTGCCCTGAAGTTCTAGAACAAGAAGGCAAAGCAAAAATAGAAAAAAATCCACCAATCACCACTGGAAAGAGATCACAGGAGGAAAACTAATAGGAATATCATAGCCAAGTTTCAAAGCTCCCAGGTTAAGGAGAAAATATCAGAAGCAACAAGAAAAAAAAATTTATATATCATGGAGCTACAATAAGGATTACACAAGACCTAGCAGCTACTATGTTGAAGGACTTGGAATATACTATGTTTCATAGAGCAAAAGATTATGATCAAGAGTAACTTACCCAGCAAAGTTAAGTATAAGCCTTAATGAAAAAAAATGGATATTTAATAAACTGAAAGACATTCAGGCATTTGTGACAAAATAGCAGAACTTAGGGGAAAACTCAACATATAATATCCAGGAGAAATATAAGGTAAACATTAAAGACCAATTATAAGGGACTCAATAAGGTCAAATTGTCTACTTCTTATTCCTGAAAATAATAACAGTTCTTTGATGACTATCATTATTATTTGGATAGTTTGAAAGAAAGGGTTAGGCTGAGCTGAGTATGACAGGGTGATTCTAAAAAAATAAAACTGTATAGGGAAAGATAAAAAGAATCAATCATCTCATACAAATGAGGCATAAAAGGAAAAATTGATACAGAAGGCACTAGTAAGGGTGAGGGCAAGTAGTGCTGGAATCTTACTCTCATCAAGAATGGGTTACAGAGGGAACAACATATATATATATATGTGTGTGTGTGTGTGTGTGTATATATATATATGTATATATATATATACATATATATATACATATAACTCAGAAAGAAGTAAGAGGGCAAGGGGATAGGGTGAGGAGAGAGGATAAGGGAGGGACTCTTGCAGTGGGTAAGTTAAGGAATGGGAGAGCAAGGTATCAGGTAGAAGTAGAACAGAGGTGTGAGGAGGGATAGGAATAGGGTGAGAAAGATGGTGAGGAAAAACAGGAAGAAAGAAAATATACAGCAAGCAATTATAGCTTAGAATGGAATGGAATGCATTTACCCATAAAATGGAAACTGAAAGCAGACTAAAAATTTGACTTCAGCAACATGTTGCTTTCAGGAAATGCTATAAAAATGAGAGATAAACACAAAGATAAAATAAAGGTCAGGAGTAGACTTTATTATGTAAAAAACAACAGGGTTGGTAATCATGACCTCAGACAAAGTTAAAGCTAAAATAGATTTAATCAAAAGAGAAAAATAGGGAAACTATACTATTCATCAACAATATTATCCAATATTGTTTTAGACCATTTAAAATAACTAGATAGTATAAAATACCTGTGCATATACCTGCCAAAACAGACACAGGAACTATATGAACAGAAACATAAAACACTTTTTATACAAATAAAGTCAGATCTAAGTAATTGAAGTAATAGTTACTGTTCATGGGCAGGTAAAGCCAACATAATAAAAAAAAATGACAATTTTACCTCACTAATCTATTTATGTAATGCCATCCCATTTAAATTACTAAAAAATTCTCTTAAGTTAGAAAAAATAATAATAAAGTTCATTTGGAAGAACAAAAGGTCAGGAACTTCAAAGAAATTAGGGGAAAAGATATAAAGGAAAGGGATTCCGTAGTATCCAATCTTTGAGAGCACTGTTGAAGTATAAAATGGATTGTTTTGATTATTTTAAATTAAAATTCTTATATAAATTAAAACCTATATAGCCAAGAATAGAAGGAACACAGGAAATTGGGGGAAAATGATTGGGCTGAAATATTGCTCTGGTGTAGGAAATGATGGGCTGGTTGATTTAGGAAAACATGGAAAGACTTGGACTTATGAAGGAAGTTACTATCCCCCTTCAGAGAAACAGATGACAAGTAAAAATAAGCACAGTATGGTCTTACATATATGTGTATGAGTGTATATGTTTATATATATATGTGTATATTCATAGATATCTACATATGTGTGTATATATATTTGCATGTATGTATGTATCCGGGTTTAATTGTAGCATTCTTTGGGGGGAGGGGGAGAGGGAAGGAAGGGGGAAAAATAAAATGAAAAGTGCACAGCAGAAAACAAAAGAAAACCTACAAGGAAGCAAAGGAAAGCTAGGCAGCCTTGAAAACAATGTGTAGTAGTTATTTTATAGGTTTTCTTGAAATGGCAATTTATTCTTTTATATTGAATGCTCTCTTATGTTTTACTGTGTACATATCAATGTTTTTTTTTTCTCTTTTCTCATTTTGTATTAAAAGAAAAAAAAAAAAGAAAATGAGGTTTAGGAATTACAGTTTTAAAGGCTGAAGTCTATGACCTTAGTTAAGAATTTGTAGCTGATTCTTGTACTTAGGAGGCGACATAATCGAGGAAAGACTAAATCTTGCTCTATTCCATTCTATTTAACAAGTATTCATTAAACATCTACTACATACTAGATACTGTACTAAGTACTGAGGGTGCAAAGAAAAAAAAATGAAAATTTCCCTGCCCCCAAGGAGCTTACTACATTTTGCTCAGACACTAAGGTTTTAAAATGAGGAATTTAGGAATGTCTTCATTTTATAACCTTTGTGTTTCTTGAAAAAAAATTCTCTATCCAAATGTCTCACATGGATAATAAAGTAAATCCTGAGTAGTTACAGAATTAGCTAAGTGCCCAAACCCCTACATCAGCCTGTCCCTCAAGCCCTTAGGCCTCTCTCCTTGAATGAAAATGCTTACTCCAAATCTAAATTCAAACCATCAGAATTTTTTTTAAGAAATGAAATTTAGAGTATGTTTTAAAGAGGATGAACATACTCTCCGTATCATCTGATACATATAGCCTATCTGTTCTTAGAGGCCTTGGAAGTTGGTGTTTCTGTTTGGGGCCAGAGTTCTTGGGCCAGATATACCCATTTGAAGTACTTCAAGTTTCCCAATGAATGTGAATGATTAATAGCCAATAAATTTGAATGATTAATAGCTTGAGAACTCTTGCTCTCCCACACTGCAGCATCTGTCTCCTTTGCCTTGTTCACTCAGCTGAGCTGCCCAGGTGGACACAAAGATGTGTCAGTCATTAAGTGATTTCTCACAGTGCATTAATTTCCTAGAGCAATCCCTAAAAAAGACCAGCACGCTCCTTCAATACCCTGATTTCTAAATCTCCTCCAACAAGATTTCACACAGCTCTGCATTTTTGACAGGTCTTATATATCTCTGCCTGTACTTTCAGTGCTGATGCTAACATGGCAAAGGCCTCTTATTTGTCCTTTTGTCTCCCCTGGAGAGAGTTAGGCAGGGGTGGACTTGATATATCTGTAAATTATAGCTCGATAGAAATCTCTGGCTTTCTGGTCATCATCCAGCCAAAGAGCCTCAGCCACTAAGCTCTGCTCACAGAAATTGCTCTTTATAGAGGATTCTCTCCCCTGCCTCTGATGTCTCTCCAGCAGAGAGAGCATTAGAGTGTTGAATTATGAAATGGAGAGTCTCGAGAATCTCAATGAGAATGAATGTTTCATGGGTTTCATTCAGAAGTGATAGATCATCCCTTTCCACCTTGCACCAAATGTAAAATGGCAATCTGAAAGTAAGTATAAGGTATTGAGGCAGTCCACCTTGGAATTTTAAACAAGGAAGCTATGGAAAGTGCTAGGTTTGAAGTCACAGGCCCCGAGTTTAGATCCTGGCTCTTCTTCTTAGTAGCTGAGGGATTTGGGGCAAGTCACTTAACCTTGGACCATGGATAGAGGTGCAAAGGATAGAGTGCCAGGCCTGGAGTCAGGAGGGCCTGAGTTCAAATCCACCCTCAGACACTTACTAGCTGTGTGACCCTGGGTAAGTCACTTAACCCTATTTACCTCAATTTCCCTATCTGTAAAATCTGGAGAAGGAAATGGCAAACCACTCCAGCATCTCTGCCAAGAAAACCCCAAATGGGGTCACAAATATAACTAAGTGACTAAACAACAACACTTAAGCTCTCTGGGCCTCAGTTTCCTCATCTGTAAAATGACAAGGTCAGCTTAGATAAAACTCTTGATTCCCTTCCAAATATTTATTTTTGATCCTATGTTATACTTACATCAAGAGACCCTGGGAGGGATAGCAACTGAAGAAGAAAAAGCAGAAAGATTTTCTATATTAGAATTCTAATTAACATGGTTGTCAACTAATTCATCAACTTGGCCCACAACAAGGGCAATATGTAGAACTGTTTAAAGAACAAATCTGAAAACCACAGCACAGAACCTATCAAAACCTCACTGCTGGTTGTTTTTTTCTGTAATCTCTCCTTAACCAGTTGGGTCCATTTTCCCTTCGCTCAGAGGCACAGGTTTTGGTTTTTGGTCTTCAATTAGTCATGTCTGACCCTTCATAAGATGCCATTTGATGTTTTCTTGGCAAAGATACTGGAGTGGTTTGCCATTTCCTTCTCCAGCTTGTTTAACAGATGAGGAAATTGAGGCAAACAGGATGAAGTGACTTGCCCTGGGTCACACAGCCAGTAAGTGTCTTGAGGCTGGATATAAATTAAACTCAAGTCCTCCTGACTCCAGGGCCATTACTCTATCCACTACACTGCCTAGCTACCCCAGATAGGATAAAAGAGGAGGGTAGAGAAAGAAACAAACAGCTCCTGTTGTAGGACCCCTTCGGTGCGCTTTGCTCATGATTGTTTTACCTTCCAATGGCCCTTCTGCTCTCCTCTTAGGCCTCTCCCTTCCTTATGACCACAACAGATCCTAACTCCCTGGCCCCTACCTTGATCTCTGGACAACTCTGTAAGCCATCAATGTGCCAACGGGAGGCTTGTGTCAAACCCCAGTATCTGCAGTTCTCCCACCTGACCAGCCACGTTCCACTGCATCTGGTGGCCTAGAATGATGGGACCCAAGTTAGGGATGAAGTTTGGTCTGTCTCTCCAACCCACCTTTTGAGGAGTCTCCTTCTGCTTGGACGTTAACAAAGAACAGCATCGGTCTGCTCAAGATGGTTTCCCGGTAGTCTTTGTAATCACAAAAGTTGCTCAGTTCCACGTACCTATTGAAAAAAAACAAAGAAAGAAAAGGTAGAAATGATTTAAAATGAAACACTTCTTGTCACTGACACTGAATGAAAGGCAGGGTGAGTAACTTAGCCTAACTTGAACGTGCTGAGAATAAGACAAGAAATTTAATTAGGGAAAAGAAACTTTTCCTTTGGCCTCCTTCACCCCTGAAAAAAAAAAAGCAAAACTGGAAAAACTTACTGTTATTCCTAATAAGAGGCGTTATAGTCTAAGAAACGGAAATATTGCTTAAGGATTTTAAAAAGTTCATTGAATCCTGTAATCTTGGAGCTGGAAGGGACCTTGCTGTTTTCGTCTTTCTTTACATCCCCAAAGCCGGCACATAGGAACGGCTTAGGAAATACTTGTTTAATGACTGACTGACCTCTGAGATCACCTCTTCCACCACTGGGATGCTCCTACCCACTATTGGAATCTTTCTACAGTATCCCCAACATGCAGCCTAGCCAGCTGTAATGTTTAGGATATTCTTCTTATTCTGGGGTCAAATTTCTGTATCCCCGTAACTTCCACCCCTACTCAGCTGCCAAGGCTCAGGTCTGACTATGTCACCCCCTACTCTATAAACTCCTGTGGCTCACTGTTTCTTCCAGGATCAAATATAAAAAACCCCCGTTTAGCTTTTAAAGCCTTTCAGAATTGGCTCCTTCCTACCTTTCTGGTCTTTTTGCATATAACTCCCTTCCATGTATTCTAATAATCCAGCAGCTAACTCCTTGTTCCTCAAACAAGACACTCCAACTCCCGGTGGGGTGGGGGGAGGGGTCATCTCAAGTTGTCCTGATCCATACCTGGCCACTGGACCCAGACAGCTCTGAAGGAGAAAGTGAGGCTGGTGACTTTGCACAGTCCTGCCTCACTGTAATCCAACTCACTTGCAAGTCATGGCATCACCTTCACCAGGTCACGGTCCTCTTCCAGAACAAAGAAGAAACAACAACGACTCCCACTCCCTACACCTTTTCACTGCTACCTCCTCACATGGAAAGGGTAATGTTCTCCCTCCCCACCTCCACCTCCTAGCTTCCCTGGCTTCCTTCAAGACAGATGAAATTCCACCTTCAGCAAGAGACCTTTCCTGGTAGAGTCCCTCCCCACCCTCACTTTCCCCCCTTCCCAGCCTTATTTTTGAGATTCCCTCCTATTTACACCGTATTATCTTGCATGTACAGTTGTTTGCTTGTTGCCTCTCCCCCCCCCCACTAGAATGTAAGCACCTTGAGGGCAGGGACTAAGTTTCTGCCTTTCTTTGTATCCCCAGGACCTAGCTGGCTTGACTCTTAGTCCAGGTTTCTGGATATACAGAGCGTCAGTCTCCACCATTGAGGGGGAACCTTCAGGCCTCAGGCCACATGCAGATTTTTGCGTCCTTCAGGGTGAAGCATACTTGCCTAAAAAACACAAAGACCTGTAGCAGTGCCTACAGATCTACGGTTGAGTAAAACGGTTGTGATTTTCACGAGATTTTGAGTAACAGCCCCTTTTTATTTTCCTTCACCTCCGGCAGAAGGCTTGTGACACAATTATACCCAGCTCAATGAATACCGTTACACTCAGTTCTACTGTTCAAACTGAGCATTATGCAATGTGAAGGTCCTGCTGTGAATCAGCATTTCGACATATGACTAGAAGACGACGCTGGCTTAGAGGATCGATCAAAGCCGAATACAACAGCGCTGGAGCCAGACACCAAGTTCTCCGCTTTAAAACAAGCAAACTCATTTTTGTTCTTCAGTCGTTTACAGTCACGTCTGGCTCTTTGTGACCCCATTTGGGGATTTCTTGGCAAAGATGCTGGAGAGGTTTGCCGTTTCCTTTCTCCAGCTCATTTTACAGATGAGGAAACTGAGGCAAACGGGGTTAAGTGACCTGCCTAAGGTTACGCAGCCAGTAAGTATCGGAAGCTAAATTTGAATTCAGGAAGATGAATCTGCCTGACTTCAGGCCCTGCACTCTATCCATTGAGCTACCTAGCTGCCCTTAAAAAATTTCATTAAATTATATTTATATCATATTTAATTTTTTTCACAAACTAGCAGGAATGCAACAGTTTTTTTTTAAAGGAATTAAACTGTATTTGCTTCACATTTTAAAAAAATGTTTTGGATAAATATAAAGAATATGTAATAGTAGAGAGACCTTCAGGAAGGGGTTGGGCAAGATAGCCCCTAAAGCTCCATTCAAATCTCAAACTCTGTATAATTCTGTGACTGACATCTTTTGTTTGGTTGGTTTGCTTTGCTTTTGAACCTATGCATCATGGGAAAAAGTCTGACACGTTTATTCGATCCACATAATTTCCACTGTTTAAGACAGTTTGCCACCTGATAGAGTCTTCTGGACATGACTTCTAATGAAAAAAATAGTTAATAGCTAGCTACAAATGGTGTATTAATATTTATAGAATGTTTTACATATATTATCTCATTTTATCCTCACAATAACCCTGTGAGTTAAGTACTTTTATTATCCTCATTTTATAGAAGACAAAACCAAGGCTGAGGTTAAGCGACTTGCCCAAGGTCATACAGCTAGTACGTGCGTGAGGAAGGATTTGAACTCAGATCTTCTCACTCAGATGGTCCATTGCACTAGCAAGCTGCCTCAAAAAAGATTCTCTGCTTCCAGTTTAATCTATGTTCTATATGACAATTCTTCATGTATTTAAAGGCAATTACGATCCACCTTCGGTCAAGATAAATACTCCTAGTCCCTTTGGCTATTCCTCAAATGACATCATTTACAGACTCTTCTCAGCTGGTGCATGCCAAGGCTCATAAGATTTAACCTAGAGCTGGAAAGGGCTTTAGTGACCATCTGGTCCAACCCCCTCATTTCAAATATGAAAAAAGGGTAACACAGAGAGGTTAAGTGATTTGTGCAGTCACACAGCCAACATCGCTCTTAAAATAACACTCCTGAATCCAACACTTTACTCCACACAGACAAGATAAATACTCCAGGGCAAAATACAGTAGATCATTCAATCAATCAATTAACAAACATTTATTAAATACCCACGATGTGCATTGCTGGGGATACAAGGGAAAATCTGAAAGTCTCTCGTCTAACATCTTTATATTTCAGCACGTGCAGAATAAATACACGGTACATGGAAGAAGGGGAAGCAGTACCACAGGGGCATCAGGAAAGGCTTCATGAAGGAGCTGGGGCTACAGCTGAGCATTTAGGGAAACCAAGAATTTTAAGCACCGGAGTGAGAGGGAGCATACTCTGGGCATAGGGGACAGCCTCTGCAAAAGAGTAGAGACAGGAGATAGAATGTTACTCGTGAGGAATAACAAGGCCGGTTCAGCTGGACCACAGCGTATATGAATAAGGCTAGATAAATAGATTGGGATGAGGACATGAAGGACTTTAAATGCTAAACAGAAGAGTTAACATTTGATACTGAAGGTAAGTGCCATAGTCTAAGTGGTAGACTAGTGAAAAAATGATTAGGTGGCACAAGGCCTAGAGTCAGGAAGACCTGAGTTCAAATCTAGCCTCAGACACACACTAGCTGTATAATCCGAGGCAAGTCGTTTTTTCTCAGCTGTAAGATGGAGATAATAAGAGCACTTACCTCCCAGGATTGTAAAGATCAAATGAGATAGCATTTGTAAAGTGGTTAGCACAGTGCCAGGCACGGAGTAGGTGCTAAATAAATGCTTCTTCCTTGATCTGGTTATCATATTTCTGTTAATACAGCCTAAGATTGCGTTCATTTTCCCAGCAGCCTTTTGGGTCATATAATAAGTCCATAGTCAACTAAAACCTGTAAATGATTTTGGTGATGGTGGTGATGGTGGATTGTGTGGGGAAGGGGGGAAGGGTCTGTAGGGATGGGGGTTTGTGGATGTGAGAGATTTGACATGGGTATAAGCATAAGCATGGGGGAATGTGAAGGTGTGCGTGTGTGTACATGCACATGCATGTGTGTTTCATATAAAGTGCTTATTAATCCAGATGTTTCCCCATCTTGTTTTATACAACTGGGTTTTAACCTAGATACAGAAGTATCTCTGTTGCATGTAATTTTGTTCATTTGAGCTCATCATATCAACCTGTTAAGTTCTTGTAAAATCTTCATTCTTGTAAAAAAAAAAAAACTGGCTGTTTATGGGGATGGAAAAGAGAGATATGGCTATAGCCATTCCCATGAGCCCAATTCTCACGCCTGTCTGAACTGAAGCTAGCGAGGGAGAATTTAAAGGTGCAAAGGGAGAAGGCCGGCTGTTGGGTTATAGAGAAAGGTGATGGGCACGAAACCAGCCTTGACATAAAAGTGCCAGCTACTGAGAGGAAGGGCACTGAGATGTGGGAGCTCTGGACTAGAAGAGGCTGGGGAATGGGGCTGCCATTTATCTGGGATCACCTGCTATAGTGTCATAAAGATTCACATGAGCTTACTTTAGTACCCAGGAAAGTGTATATTAGAGTATAGCAAGCAAGGACAGGGGAACCTACAGAAGCTGATTCTATCTGGTACAATGTCTGAAATCAGTAAAGCTTGCCTGCCACTCCATTCTAGAAAAAAAAGACTGTTTGGGAAAAGCTGGAGGCAGCTAGGTAGCCAAGTGGATAGAGTGCTGGGCCTGGATTCATTATCTTCTTGAGTTCAAATATGGCCTCAGACACTAGTTACTAGCTGTGTAACCCTGGGCAAGTCATTTACCCCTGTTTGTCTCACTTCCCTCATTTGTAAAATGAAGAATGGAGAAGGAAATGGCAAACCACTCCAGTATCTCTGCCAAAAAAAACACAAACCCAAATGAGGTCACAAAGAGTCAGACACAACTGAAACAACTCAACAACAACAAGGACCACTGGGCAACTGAACACTTCTGTTATCCAGTTTATATGCATACAAATTGCCTTTACTACCACCAATACATTCATCCTTGGAAAGATCTGTGATCTCATCAACCCATCTAAAATCTCAACCCATCCAAGCTACTTATCCTGTGAA